GGTTTGTAATTGAAAAAACTTAAAATTGGAATCACAAGTTAATACACCATTATGTAAAGCAATGTTCGATACAGAGATTTATGTTTATAAATGTTTGATACCAAAAAAATAATAACTTAGAAACATTGCTATAAAGTTTATTTGCATTAATTTAAAAAAAGGAATAATTTTTTTTATTTCAAATATCCTAAAAGTAACAACTTTTAAGAGCTTATTTGATTAAAAAAAACTTAATGTTTACTTATGTAAACTTTGTCTCTAATTAAGAGAATACTTAAACTTCTAACTACAACACATTGCAATGTCAGAATTGATTATTACTCGTTGGCAAACAAAATTACTCGGTTTGCAAACAAAATGGCATTTATTTTGGTGCGCCGAAAGAAAAACGTCATTGCATTGCCATAAACGGAGTGAGCAGGTCTCGGAACATGAACACTCTCTTGGTAACATCTTAAAAACATTTTAATAACATTAGTATCATCATTACTTTAATATAAATATATATATGAGTTAACCTTTTTTTTTTTTCATTGAATTGTGTTATCTTAAAGTTGTTACAATTGAAGTGAGTCAATTTCAGAAATAAGTTTATGAAGTTTATACTTTATAGAAATTGAGTAGGGCAAAATTGAATTGTATAGAATTTTGCTCCAAAACAAAGCGTAAAAGTTGAGTGTTTATACCAATGATAAGAGGGAAAATTAGTTGTTTTCGCATAAAAAATTTAGTTAGTTAGAAGTGGTTCTTTTTTATGTACCAGCATATCAGCCAGTTATATTTACTGTTTATTATCTGCAAGGCAAAGTGAGTTTTCTAATATTTGTGTTTAGAATAATGTTAATAATTCTTATCAAACATTCACTTTAGAAATATGAATTATAGGGGAAAGCCTTTGTCAAAAATGACTTTTATATGTTGTATTTAATTATGACATAATGACATTATTTAAATGACAAAAATGGCTTTTATATGGTGCATTTGCCTGAAATTTGACTTATAGTCTATTAGTCAAAAATCACAATATAAGTCTCTATAACAAAGATACTTATATTGTGACCATTATGTATGGCATTATCTTGATCGATGTTGTTACACTTGGAATATGTTGCTTCAATTTTTAGGTATTTTATTTTGCTACAATTTTTTTATGATGTTGTTTTGATTTGATTTGTTCTTTAAACAGAAAGCTGTACAGTGTCCTTTATTTTCCCAGGTGTTGAATTTCAGCAATATTTTAGTCAAATTATTTATAGTTCATTTTACAAGAGGAAGCAGAAGATTATTTTATTATTAACTACTTTCTTATTTTTAATGTGTTTTTTTTTTTTTAGAACAATTCAAGAGTATGATTTAATTAATAACTGTGAATCTTCTTGGTTGATGCCTAAAAGATTTTTTGACGGCAGTTCTACATTTTATTGAAATATAAAAACATGCCAATATCCCAAAAATTATTCTGCGTAATGTTTTTTGGATTGTTTGCATGTAAAATTAAAAATTCAGTCATTGATTGTGAAAAAGACTAATTGGCTAATTAGTTTGAAAAGTTTCAATGGTGATGATTGATTGGTGAGAAACTTATTTACTTTTTATGTTTTAATTACATGATTTGTTAATATTTATGATATGAATTGTTTGTGAGCTCAGTATAGTGAAGTTTTTATTCCTACATTTGTATTACTTAGCACAAATATTTAATAATTTTGTCAACAGATTGGTTTGTAATAGTCTTAATTATCTTATTTACTTAATGTTCAGTATACTGTTATGTTGTTTTTAAACTAGATAAAATACTTTTTAAAACGAAAATTACTGCTGGCTATTTATGAATCTAATTTTACTTTACTTCTTTGGGAATTTTATATCATTTACTAAGTTTAATGTATTGGTAACTTTTTAATTACTAAAAAAAGAATTTTGTTACAAAAAAAAGTGTAAAATGCATAACATTCCAGCTATTACAATACATTAGAAGACTTTCATTAGAAATGTTTTTTTTTACATTTTTATTTCCAACAAGACTGCAGAAACCTACTATTAGAGAAAAGATGAAATTTATAGATCAAAATAACAACTTAAAGAAAAATTAATAGATTGTGAACTATATGAATAAAAAAACAAGCTGAAGCAAGTGAAAAAAAAGTTTCACGAAAAAACAGATAAGAATTTTTTGGGCACTTAGAAACAGTCATTCAATATTCACTCATCATTCAATAAAGGTTAGCCTTTATTGAATTATGAGTAACACAAAAGTGAATTTTAGTAAATGACACAAGAAATGCTAACTCTTTAGAGCAGTGTCCATAATAGTATATGATAATGTTCTAATGGTTGGAGGTTGGCTGCAAGAGCAGGTCAAGGTGCAAAAACAATTCCTTTTTGTACGTTGTCTAAAATAGAAAGGCCATTACTGGAAGATCTGATTAAGATATGGCAAAAGTGTTCCATGCAGGGATGGATTTAAGATTTACAGAGATAAGATATTTATAAATATTTATAGAGATGTTTGAATTGATGTATACTTTTAAATTTAATATTGCATCATTGTATAATACGTCATACATTAACATGCTTATACAAATCCCTGAATGACATTCAGTTTATATAATTGTTGCGTTTACGATTTTTGTAATTTAGTTTTAGAAGAGAAGAGAACAATCGTGTATGCTTAAAATTATGTTATTATACAATCATAAGTTGACAATATATTCAAAGACTGAAATTTAGCACAATTGTTTTAAGCAAAAGGTCTTTGCACACCGCCAATTAAGCATTTATATTTCAAGAAATGTTTATTGATAAAAGTTTGCCTTAACTTACATAAATAGTAATATTTGTAGATATTATTATCTACTAGGTAATAATTATTATTAAAAACTAACCTTTATATGTCTCTCTTTCAAATATGTTGTGTTGATATATTTGCCCTGGCTTTTAGTTTATGACTCAAAATTTAAACATCAATTCTTGAGGTTTAACTATCTTATCATTTCTAAAAGTATCAAGTGTAAACAACTCACCATACCTAATCAAAATAAAAGAACATTACAAATTCTTATCTTTTTAATATTATGAATAATTTTTATTTAAACATTAAAACAATCTTTTGCTTGAAATCTAATGCATAAATTTTAAAAAACAAATTAAAATTAAATAATATCAATAAGAAATAATGCAAAACTTTTTTTTATCTTAACTTATTAAGTTGTAGTGCAAAAATAATTTTTATGCAAGATTTTATACCTTTTTGTCGCACTGTAACTTAAGTCTCAGCTAGAATACTAAATAAATAAATAATTCTAAACTATATGCATTTAATTCTATACTAAAACTATATACATAAACTCTAAACTAAATAAAATAAGTTTTTTTATTTATTTAATCTAATAAACTCTAACTGTAACTGTAACTCTCAGCTAGAATATCAAATAAATAATTCTAAACTGTAACTAACTTATAATTATAAAAAATTTAACTAATTATAAAAATATAAGCAGTTAAAAAATAAAAACGCTAAACAATCTATAATATAACATTGAAATAATAACAAAATCAGAAAAAATTTCAATAATAACATTGTTGTTGTTGTTGAACTTATCGCGATACTCGATTTCCCGGTTTTCGCTTTTAAACTTTTCGCTTTAACGTACTTTCGCTATAAAACTTTTCGCTCTTACACTCTTTCGCTTTTAAACTTTTCGCTCTTACGCCACATTACCACTTCTTATGCTGTTTGTTTATTTTATTTATTCTATATCTACTTTTTTGTGTAAAATACGCACGAAAGATTCTTATTATTCCGGAATTTAAAAAATCTCAAATATCGTCTATTGTACATTTTATATTGTTGTACTTAGTGAATATTTTTAACGGCGAAATAAACTAATAAACTAAACTAATAATGATAATTTTAACATTATTGAAACTTCTTTAGGTCAATTATTTAAAGAAACTTAAGTTTTTAAGTTATTTAGAAAACATTATTTTTTAACTTTTGAAAAAATATTATAGTAGTTAATATAATGTTTTGTTCAAAATGTTTTATTCAAAACAAGAAAAAAAAAAAAAAAAAAAAAATTAACAATTAGTGTTTTTAAAAAAGAGAATTATCATCTTACTTTAATAAAATTAATGTTCAGTAAATATAAATGTTAATCCATGTTAATGCATAAAACTAAAGAATTTTTTTGATGATATAATAAAAGTTATTTAAGTAATCTTTTGTCCGATGAAACTCGTTTGTTGTTTAATTTTTAAACGTTAGTTACGCACTTAATACCGCAAGGACTTGAATATCGCAACGACACCTAATATTAAGTGTCGTTCGGTAATAAAGTCGTTGCGGTATTAAGTGCGTTGATATTTAGTACTTACTTAAGGTATTTGAATTGTTTTCATTTTACATTTTAAAAAAATGCTGAAGTGTTTAATTTCAAAAATTTTATGACTTCATTATAGACGATGGGGTACACGCATTATTGGCAATTAAAAAAGGTAATTGATTCTTCAAAATGGAAAGAATTTTTAATTGGAGCTCGTAAAATTATTACTGCCGCTATCGATAAAAAATATCCCGTCGAGGACGAATCTGCTGAAGATTTTATTTGTATCAATGGCACAGGTGATGAGAATTACGAAGATTTTAAAGTTACCAATAATCTCAAATGGACTTTTTGCAAGACTGCCCGTAAGCTATATGACCCAGTAGTAACTGCAATCCTTATTTTTCTAAAAGAAATTGTTGGGGAGGATGTCAAAATCGAATCCGATGGCAAATGGAACGAAGAAGAATGGGAGGATGGTAGAAAACTTTACAAAGATGTGTTTAACAAAGAGCCTGACTCGATTTTGGGTTGACCACTTTAATCAGTAACCAATAATTATTTCTTAAACTTTTGTTTGTTCAATATCAATAATAAATTTAGTACATAGATAATATAAGTACATAAATTATATGTAGGTTTTGTAAATGTATCAAATCTTGTTTTAAAGCTTTATGTAGTAGATGTTTTACGTGCGGATATTCACGCATGTTTCAATTGGGTATTGCATCACAGTTTTATCAAAAAGTTAATTTACGCAGTTTCAAAACTCACTTTTTTTTAAATACTAAGTATTTCTTTCTGTAATTTTAATCTTAAAATAAAAAAATTATGATCTGTTTATCTTTGTAAAATAAATATTTATTTTCTATTCTTTAGATTCTAACTTTAAAAATTCATATAATGATCAATTAACTAATCGCTTTAGCAATCCTAATTTTACTAATGATTATGATTACGACCTTGTTCAAACCTATAAAATAATTGCCAGTAGCGCTCAAATAGCATTTAAGGAAAATTTTAAAAATGAAATGCAATCTTTGCATTCAAAATCTTAGAAATTTGAATTATTTTGCTCTAAAACTGTTCTTTCAATTCATTTCAAAAAATGAATATGTTCTGGTTTGGGGCCATCCATAAAGTACGTACGCAGTAAAACCACTGATTTAGGACCCCCCCTCCCCCCTTGTACGCACTTGTATGCTTTCAACGACCTCCCCCCTTCCCTTCTGCGTACGTACGCATTTTTTATTACAAGTTCAGGCTCTCCTCCCCTTCCTTCCCCAACGCATTAATTTTTCAAAACATTAAACACAAAAAAACATTTTGTTAATTTCTCTGTGCTTAATTAAAAACTGGAAAGTTATTTGTTAATAACTTTCCAGTTTTTGTTAAAGAAAGAAAAATATTCTAAAAAAGAATTCTTGTTGCGAGTATTTATATTTCATATTTCCTCAAATGGTGACTTAAATAAATCAAATATGTTATCAAATACAGGCATGAACTCTGCTTCCACACTTTTATAATCAATCTCCTCACTGATATCTTCACTTTTATTAATAGATTCACTGTCACTTACACTATCCTCACTCTCCATTTCAACCGTGTTTTTTTTTTGTGTATGTGCTTTCTTGTGCCGTTTCATTGCAGCCTCGCTTGGCCAGTATTTATTGCACTTGTCGCAAATTCCGTTTGAGAGCTTTTCCTTTAACGATGGGCAATACAGATCAAATGGTATAATTTTGTATTTTAATCCTTCTATAGGTATATCATGTAGCAAAAGTCGATGTGTCAGTGGTGCAAACGTTGATTGTTTTGATATGTTTTTAAAATATCGAGACGGTTCCATTGCTTTGTAACCATTCTCGCAGTATTCGTAGATTGCCGGAAATGGAATGAAACGTTGGGGGAAGTTTTTCAGCCAGTTTGTTTCAAACGGTGTGCAACATGACTCCTCTTGGCATTTTACGATTTGTAGGCTGTATCGCGATTGCTGACAATGTTTGTCTACCCAAACAGGATCTGGAATTGGTGGTTCATATGCTTTCCCAACTGGTACAGCCTGGCAATAAACAGGATACCCGTCAATGACGGTTTTCTCCCAAACTTGGGATAAAACGTCAGCCGCTTTTTGAAAGTTCTCTACCTCCAATTCATAGTCGATTATTTTTCCAGAAGAATCAAGGTGATTGCCAAAAAAATCATGAGGAAGGACTATTCCAGCCAAATCACGAGAAAGAGGTGCCATTCTTCGTTCTACGGGGTTAAAGGCTGAAAGGCCAGCTGCATTCACACCATGAAGAAGGGCATCTAAATTAAGCAAGCGGAAGAGGTAAACAGCAGTTGCTAAGGTTTTAGGGAAACGTGGTGCTTCATCCTGAGCTCCATCAGTCTCCATTAACATAATTGGTCTACGTTTAACCAACTCGGTTTTAAAAAGCTCTCTAACATCAAAAGCATGTGTAAAAGCATTTGATGTATCGTGTTTCGCACTTCTTATGCGTATGAAAGTGTCCCCACTGTATGATACATTTCCAGTATTGTTAACTTCGCATACGCCATACACTGATGGGATCAATTTGTGCTGTGAGCTAACGACAAAATCGTGATCCATGAGTTTGACCTTGTATTCCATATGCATCAGCAACGGCGCTTGAAGGCTTGCTGCAGCAATACCCAATGGGACCCTGGCTTTATCATCGTTGGAAATGAAAAGCACAGCTTTTGGTCCAAACAATTTGCAAACTTCGAACATGTCGTCAATGAATGATTTGGCAAACATTCTATCGTCATTTTTTTTTCGCATTGAGTTTTCTGGACGTAACAGCTTTACTGGAACTGTGCTGACATGTTTTTTTCCTTCAGAAGTGTTTCCACGTCGTGGTAAAAGACGAAGGTACAAACCACTCCTACTCAAGGTAAAGCCTATCTTTGTCAACTCTTCCTGAAGGTCATCTAAAGTGGAGACGCTACGGAGACATTCTGTTCTTCGACGTTCGTCAGCTGCTGATAAATTTTGCACAATTTTTATAATTGTTGATAAAAGCTCTGGTTGGTCAACTTCGAGACGCGGTCGTCCAGTATGGTTTCGACTAAACTGTTTCAAAGCACTTGATGCTTCAGGGATGTTCTGACACACAGTTTCGATGCTCTCTTTAAGTTTTTGTCTTCGTTTTCTTTGACGAGCTGATTCACGAATCAATCTGAAAACGAAATATTAGTAAAGCTTTGATTCCGTTATAAAAACTTCTATACTTAAGGTTTCGCAACTTTTGGCTAATGTTGCAAAAGAAAAAGTACGCAAATTCTTATTTCAAATAAGAAAGTATTATTTACAATAAGATTATGAAAGTTTCTGTCTTTGAAAATGTTTGGTTTTTATAGCCAAGACGCTTTTCTATACGCATAAATAAACTCTGTATTATTTAACATATATCTCTTGATATTTACTAGAAACCTGACAGTTAAGCATTCTAAAATGAAATATCAAATAAAGAAATACATAACTAAATTGTCTTACCTGTCCAATTTTGTTTTTTCTTTTCTTATGGTTTCTTTCACAGTGTTTATTTGTTCCTTTGTTACGGTAGATAAACCAGAATCACGTACGACTATCAAGGATGCACGTTGTGATTCAAGATCTGAGATTTTCTTTCGACTCCTAACTTGTGCCGGATTTTCTCTTTCTTTTTTGTTGTCTGTTAAATCTAAATTAAAAAATGCCAAAAAATAAGCTATTATAAATTCTTGACAATTACTACTAATCAATTTATTTTGGATATAGAAAAATAGGTTTAGTGGTCAAGATTATAAATTTCTGTGACTGCTCTAAGGTCGTACGATGTAGTTTAATTTACAATACGGTTAAACTCAGTAGGCCGGGTGAATAAAAAAGAGCAATTGCTTTTACTCAGTAATTGTTCAGTTTTACGTGAATAAAAAATTGAGCAATTATCCTCAAATTTCTATTTACGTAAAGTTGAGCGTTGTTGGAGTAAATTGTTCAGCTTTACGTGAATAAAAATTTGAGCAATCTTGGTCAAATTTTTATTCACGCAAAGCTGAACAGTTAATGAGAAAAAGCAATTGCTCTTTTTTATTCACCCGGCCTAATGTATAGAAAATCACAAGAGAGAAAAAGTTTTTAAAATATTACAGAAATTAGCTTACTAATTTCAATCCTTGCAGGCTCTGTCGTAGTTGCATTTAGGAAACTTCGTGTTTCATTTGACGAAGACGGCGCTGGATGGATATCTTTTTTCTTTTTGCTAGGTGGTGAAATGGTATTTCCCCAGAATGACATAAGTGATACTTTCGACTTTGTTACTTTCTCTTTTAACTCATTTATTTTTTTTTCATACAAGGATTCATTGTTTTTTACTATTTTCCACAACTCTTGTGCTTGCTGATACTGCTTTTGTTTTTCAAGTGTTGAATATGCTTTTTTATATAACTCAAGGAATTGAAGGTATTTTTTCTCGTTCCCGCGCGGCATCTTGGTCATAATAAATAATAAGTTTTTTTTCCAATGAGGCGTATTGAGTTTTCGAATAGAATCATAAAAGTTTTTTTTGTTTTAGTTTACTCAAGATAATTGCCGTTACATTGCATCATAAAAAGTGTTGGTTTCCATCAGCATTTAAAGTAACTATTTTTTACAATTATCACAATGATTGTCATATGCATTGTCACATGTATGTTCATTTCGCTTCGCCTGTCCTTAGCAATCTTAATGTATGTTAATATTAACTTTAATGATAAAAATAATAATAATATTACCTTTTTTTGTTTTATTGTTTTTTAAAAACAAAATATTAACCTTTTAAGAGAAATGGGAAAAACCAGGTTCGTAATTAAAAAAAGAATTCAGAAGAAGTTTTCTTTGATTACAGTTTTGTTACTTTTCATCTTGCTACAGTCGAATTATGTTGCAAAAAATGGAAAACATTATTTGGAGATATTATAGCTCGATTTTTTCTCTCCTCGTTACTTATAAAGAAAAATAAAAAACAATTGTAATTGAAGTCAGAAAAAAAAAATAACATATATTATATTATGATTTTTTAACGTGAAATTCAATGTTTTTATAAAAAAACATTAAAACACGTGAAATTCAATGTTTTTATAAAGAAGTTTAGGAGAGATAGTTAAACCGCGTACGTACTCGCTGTCGTTAACACCCTCCCCCCCCCTGTACGCATTCGTACGTTTCATGATAACCCCCCCTCCCCCATACATGCGTACGTACTTTATGGATGGCCTCTTTTTAAAAAATTTAAACTCTGTAACTTTCAAGTGTTACCTAATGACCCGTAAAAACGTTCTCAAGTTGGCTTAAAATAATAAATATTGCGCACAGTATATTATAATTGAAAAATTAAAAAATATTAGGTTAAAAAACTTTTGGAATACTTTTAGATGTTAAAACAAAGACATAAATTCTAGATTAGTTACCATAAATTATAAAAACCCATTACTTCAAAATTTGCAAACCACTTCTAAAGATTACTGAATATTCCAAAAATAACACATCGTAATAAAAATCAAAGAATTTTCACGTGAACTAAAACATGATGATGTTACGATTACTACGACTAAAGAAAATATAATTAGAGCTATTTCAAACCTAAAATTAAGGTGGTACTACCCTACATTTTTTATTTTTTTAAATGTGA